TCATCGATACTGACACGTTTTATTTAGTTTATTGTCAGTCTCTTTTTGATGGGTCCGTCTTTCCCTTTGGGTTCCTTTGTGACGTAGGCAGTGGTTGCCAATGTTGGAATAGTAACTTTCTCTGCAGGATTCTCCACTACTGACTCAGGCTGTCACCACCTGAAGGGACGCACATCTGTATATAGAAGAGCCAATAGGAACGCCCTCTCTCTGAAATGACCTGTGATTGGGCTAAAGTTTCCTACAGCTTTAAAACAGAGTCAAGAGGAGGTGCAGAGGTCTAGTTCTCTCAGACCACTTGAATTACAACATGCTTAAAGTTTATTGTGGGATTTCTACCCAGTGACACCAAAACAAAAGTGCCTACCCTCTGCTTTTCTTTGTCTTATGTGATGTTAAACTGAATTTTGGATTGTTGGTCAAAACAAGCGATCAGTTCATCAATTATTCGAGGAAATAATCTGCAGATGAATCAATAATGAAAATAATCCCTAGCTGCAGCCCTGTTTTGGGTTAGATGAGTGAACATTCAATAGATACGAAAAAGTGCTGGTCAAGATCTCAGCCTTTATTTCAAAATAAGAGCTCACTGTTATTCAGAATAATCTAAAATAAGAAATCAATATTTACTTCAGTGTTTGATGGTGAATATTGTTTCTGTTTAAAATGCTTCTTTACTCATAAAAGCAGACGCACAGTCCCAGTTGGTGTATTTCAGATTCAGTGTTAGGAGTCAGACAGCAGAGGGGGATGGAGCAGGATAGTTATTATGGGATGGATGGTGTAGGTCAGAGGTCAAACAGGAAGTGCGGCGCTCAGCAGATTCCACAACAGCACTCGCTTGTCTTCTGACGACCTCTGACCTCACCTGTCTGAGCAGCTACCTCCACCGTGTCCCCGAAATGTCTCCCATCACACACACACACTGTACACACACACACACACACACACACAGTACAACATACAAAAATAAAAGTATTATATTTATACTGTATATGGAATTCCTGAGGGTTTAAAGGAAACAAGGAAACAGAAAACCTCAAACTCATATGTTTCCTGTGACCAGTCCGATCACAGCAGCGTTCTGTCATTTAAAAACTCTCAACACCTTCATCAAGGTCGTCCCAAAAACTTGCTGCCGTCATTATCATTAACAAACTGCTTCGTTTCCCAGAAACAAAAAGAAACAAACAACAACAGAAAAAAAAAACAGCCACGTCTGCGTAAAAATAACACGACATTAAACTTAAACGACTAAGCCCTTTACACACACACACACACACACACACACACACACACCTCCTTCCTGTGGCTGTTAGCGGTTAATAAATAAAGGAAATGAGCGGAGAGAGAGCTCATTAATATCAGTGAAGGTGAGCAGCTAACAGCCCCAGGAGGCTGCTGCTGTTAATACAGGAAATGAATGGAGAGAGACGGCCAGCGCTAACGCTAATGCTAACACACACACACACACACACACACACACACACATACACACAGGTTTCCTCTCTTGTATCTTAAAAGAATACAACCTAAAGTTAAAAAAAAAAAAAGAAAGAAAGAAAACCAGATTTTTAAACCACTGACAAAAACATGTTCCACATAAACCAAAGAGATCAGAATAATATTTAATTATTAAATATTCCATCTCGCCTTATTTTACAGGGTTAAAGACAAAGTTATCAAACTTGTTTATTGTACACAGGAATATTTCAGGGTTCGGTTCAGCTGTTTTATGATTGTTTTTACATATTTTTACTTTGTGTATAATTTCCAGATATTTCAGTGTTATTTTGGTTTATATTTTACTAATATTTTTTTGGTATTTTACTAATAGTATTCAGATATCTACATGATTTCTTTAAAGATTTTAGTAATAATTATCAGATATTTAACTGATTTTTTTTTATTTAACAGATTTTCTTAAAAAAATATATTTTACAAACATATTTTAGATATTTTACAATTTTTTTTCAGATGTCTTTTTTGTTTTCAAATATTGACACTCAATCACTGTGGTGCAGTTAAAGCAAATGTGGCCTTTCATTTATTTTTATTTTTACATTTTTGAACGTATACAGTGGTGGACAGTAAAGACATACATTTACTCACATATTGTACTTAAGTACAGTTTTTCAGTATCTGTACTTTACTTGTGTGTGATTATTATTAGTATTATTAGTATTATTGTATTTTTGTTGTATAATTTTTTTAAGTTATTACTTTGACTTTTACATTCGAAAGACAAATATTGTACTTTAACTTAAGTAGTAATTTGACTCAGCAACTTTCACCTGTATTGGAGCAATAAATATATATATATCTTATACATTTTAATATACATGTTTATATAAAATGTCTGTACATGTATGAACAATATGAATAACAACCCAACTGTTATATGCAATTATTAGTTTTAAATATACTAAAAGAGATTTTTTTCTATTTCACAGAGGGAAAGAAAATAATATAAACTAAAAGTCCAGCATATTTTAATACATCAATAATCACATTTGTAATATTTGTCTATTGTCTCATCAGATGGTCTCAGATGTTGAATGAATATAAGGAGCAAAACAGTGACAAATCCAAACCTCATATATTAGAATTTATGTGACAAATTTATAAATTTATATTTGTGGACAAACATTTTTTGTTTTAGATTTCAGCGGAAGGAGGGTCGACACAATTGAAAAAATATATGTGGTAGACTTACACACTGTGTAATGTATGTCATTTGGACTGTGTGTTTTGGATACTGATGACAGACATATTTATATAAATAAATAAATATATTACGAGTTACATGTCAGATTTGTGAACAAACTCACTCACCTAACTTTCTTCCTCCTCCACCTTCCTGTTTTCTTTCTCACTGTTCTCTCTTCTTCTCTTCTCTCTCAGGACCTCCGTCACCAGGAAACCAGTGTCCATGTGTGTGTGTGTGTGTGTGTGTGTGTGTGTGTGTGTGTGTGGGGTGGGTGTGGGTGGGTGTTTGTGTATTTGTTAGCATTAGTGTTAGTGTGACCTTGTCTGGACTAATTATTTCTATGGAGGACACAGGAGGGAGAGCACGTTTTTTCCGCCTCTAATGATTCATAAACAGTTTTCACAGGATGAACTCCACCAGGACCTTAATTAGTCTCCGACACACACACACACACTCTCTCTCTCTCTCTCTCACACACACACTCACACAAACACAAACAACATGTTATATGGCCATGTGTAAATGTTGTTTTGTGGAGGAACAGCGAAACATCAAGGAGGACATTCACATCCAACACCAGACAATCCCTGAGACAGTGACTGTGAGATGTGGTAGAAAGCTCCAGAAAAAGCTAGAAAGTGTACCCTTAATTAGGATTATTTTTGACATATTTAAAACCACTGCAAAATCTCTTAACTGTCTGTCTGTGTCTGTAAGATTTACAACACAAACAGCTTCATTGCAGTGGAGGTTTGACAATATCTCTGAGCAGAATAAAACTTTGATATGACAACATGAGAGATAACGAGGCATCAGTGATTCTCTACCTGTGGCCCGGGGGCCAAATCTGGCCCCCAACAGGGAGCCATTCTCATCCTTCTGAAGCTAAATAAACTTTTTAAAAACCCTCTTGGATCAGCTGAAAAGTCGTCGTCACAAAGCTGAAAACAGGCTGTTTTTATGACTCTTTAGAGAAACGTGGTTCTCACAGGACAGCCACGCTACAGACATATGATGATCTTATAGACCATGATGCATTGCTGTAGATTAAACTCCCCAACAGGATATAAAGGAGTTCAAATGAGCTCAACCTGAAACATGTACAGCAGTAAAATGACACATACACATTAATGCAGCAGGAATATTAATCCAAAAACATCAGATAGAATAAAACACTGACAGCAGGGAACACTTTACTGCACTAACTTTTACTTTCATAAAGCTTTAAATGCAGGACTTTCACTTGTAAGGAAGTCCTCTCTCAGTGTGGTATTAGTACTTTTACTTCAGTGAAGGATCTGGATACTTCCTCCTCCTCTGTTCCTGGGTCTGTTTCTGCTGATCTGCGCTGAGCTGAGCTGATCCAGGATAAGACCGGATGGAGCGTCAGTGCCACAGCTTTGATTTACTTCCCTACAGTCTGGGAGGGTTTCATGATGGTTGTGAGCAGCGCTGACAAGGAAGCCGATGTGTTTCAGATCCTGTGAAATGACTGGAAATCTGTAACCAACTGGAAACCAGTGCATCTTCGGTGGTGGACTTATGTTTCACCACAGGCTGCAACTAAAATGTCCAAACAATAACTTTAGCAGGGTTACAGCGTTAATTACAAAATGTACTGTTATATTTTATCCAACCATTTTATGTGACTCTATGTGCTTTTATGTAAATTGTATTTGTTGTTGTGTTACTGCTATTACTGCCCAGGTCTCCCTTGTTAAAGAGATCTGTGGTCTCAATGCGACACACCTGGTTAAATAAAAGCTGAAAAACATAAAGAAAATATTTCTGCCCTTTATTCTGATGTAGGTCAGTTACAGCTGAGGTCGACCTCCATCTCACTATGATTTACTTTTTGCTTTAAAAATCCAGTTTTGCAAAAATTGTTCAGTTAAACGTTGAACGTGTAATCATGACATTTCCTTTGTGCTTGGCTCACCTGAAACCACCTGAGTGATGTCATGGGAAGACTTTAGAATATCTTATCACAGATATGTGAAGAAGGAGCCTCCATGATCAGCTGCATTTACAGATCAAAGTGTGGCTCCGTGCCAACAAACAGAAATACCCAACATGTCTGCTGCAGTTCATCCCGACAGATTTATCTCTCTGAAAACGTAATGAAAACGTATCCTTGGGATATAGAATGAAGCTCTGTGCGTTTTGAATGTAGCTCAGGTGAGTCTCAGCAGGTTGGTGCAGGTGAATGAGACACAGCTGGAGAACCATCAGGTCAATCAGGCTGTGGGCGGAGCCAAACTTCAGCTCTATAAATCAACCTGCTGCCCAGGTGAGTCTGTTTCAAACAGAGGAAACACAGAATAAACTCTTGAGCATGAACCCATCCGTCAGAATCTTTTTCTGTCTGTTCTGTGGAGCTCTATCAGCTGCTCAGGACTTCATCCAGCCTGCAGCCGGCAGGTTTGGACACCAGATACCAGAGCGGCCTGAAGTCCAGGAACCAGCAGGTAGACCTGATCCACACCACAGGGATCACTGCAACACTGAGCACTTTGATACCTGATGGAAAGTGTTTTATTAATGTGGTCAATTTAGCACTTTGATGTTTTAAACATCAACACAAAAACCGACACTGAAACTGACACTTTTTATTTTTATGATCCTGGTCCAGTGATAAATGATCAGATTACTGTGAGTGAAGTTTTTGATATTTCAGTACAAAACACTCTGCATGTTCATCAATAACCTAAACAGGTGTTATTTCCAGTTTGACCATTAGATGGGGTAATTGTTTGATTTTGACATGTGCAGGGAGGGGCGTGTATTTTATTCTGTAGATGATGATCAGAGAGGACAGAAAGCAAAGACTGTCATCGTACTGACACTTGTTCACTGCACATTACACACGTTTCATGCTCAAATGTTGCTCAAAGATGATGCAAGTGTTTAAGTGTCAGGCTCAAACAAATCCCCATGGTGCAGAAGTTGAAATACAGCTACATCTGGTTTAAACAGCCATTTTGAATTTTAAAAAATGTCAGAAATGGATTCAGCATCCTCAGTCACCCCCAAACCACTCCATTACTGTCCAAATCAGCCAAGCAGTTGCTGAAATATATGATGATAAAGATATCCACAGACGGTGTCACAACGTGCATGCCCAAGCTAATATGCAGTTAATGTGAAGACGGCTCTTTTAAGGGCATTTTGCACTCCGTTGTATAAACTGCCCACCTGTGGCACTCCTATAGGAAAACCAATATGCAAAGACGACTTACACGATGGTGCAGTGCCAGCCAAATGTTAGTAAATGTTACCCTACCTGCTACGTTATCTTATGTGTCATATCTTATATGGATATATGTGCAGGCTCTCTGTCTCAGAAGCTAATAACTTTGGGGAACTCAACACCTCCGGGTTCATGTTGCTGGCAAGTAGATTCTCTGGAAGACTAGTGACTAAAAATTCAGTTTTCTCTAATGTGAGTTATGGTGACAAATTTAGGTGTCACTATTGTGTGTGATATTTTGAAATAGAGTTGCAGCAAGTCCCAGAATCTTATTTTGCAACTTTCCCCTTTGTGTCAGGACAACTTTCAAACTGTGACTCTTTAAGCCGTCGCAGTGTCTTAATTTTTGCATTTATTTTGCCAGGAACATGTCCCAAAAGGGTTTTGGGGCCCCTGAGACCAAACGGCCTCAGGGTGGGGGTTGCTCATTATCAACGTATGATGGCCTGAAGCACATTCTTGCTAACAGGAAATAATAATGGAAAAAAGGTAGCAGAAAACATCATGAGGGCTGGACCTGGCTCCCAGCCAGCATACTTGTGAAATGGTGTTTCTGACACACTCCTTGGTGGAGTTTCTACATCACTGTGCTGAGTGTTGTAAAGTTTGATTGCTTCAGCTAACACACTTCCCAGCTGGCACATGACTGACCTTCAGTGTTGAAATATGCTTGAAATTTTGTCAGTTGTTGTTTCAACATTAAAACAACATTGAAATAACGTTGAATTCTGAGGGTTGTGAAAAGGTTAACAAAGTTCTCTTAAATCAACATTGAAATTTCAGAGAGATCTCTTTTAAATGTTGAAACAATTCTGAAACAATGTTTAAAGTTTATGAAACAACATCATGAAATCAATGCTGACTGTTCTGTCTAAATCAAAACATAATTTAACAGCTGATTGAACCGTGATGTTTGACGTTGATTCAACAGTGATCAAACATCAGACTGCCAGCTGGGTTAAAACACACAAAACATTGCTTAATAACCACAAGTAGAAAATTCTGCTCCCTTATATCTCACAAGGTACAACGGTCCATTTCTAGACATTGTATTATAAAAGTCTCATACCATTGCAACCCTCCTGATGGATATGACCAACCCTTCTGTCCCAGCTGTCCTCCAGGAGAAGCAGTCTTTCCATGAACCGTTGTCATGGAGGTTTCCGGACCCTCCGGCTGAGGAGGAGCCTCGGTTCCCTCCAGACTTTGAGCTGAAGGCTCCGGAGGCAGCCGACAGCGTCAGCGCCATCTGCGGGGAGAACTCTATCCGGGTGGAGGCCAAGAAGGACCTGCTGGGGATCGGTAAACCTGTCCTGGCTGCAGATGTCACGCTGGGAGGATGTCCTGCCACGGGCGAGGATCCTGAAGCTCAGGTCCTGGTCTTTGAGTCGGAGCTGCACGGCTGTGGCAGCCAGCTGCTGGTGAGGGTTAAATGTGAAATAATAACACCTTGGTGCAGCAGGTAAATGTTGGAGAGCTGTTTGTGTCCACCTGATAGGGCCAGTATTCACTCTGTTTTAGCTCTGTGTTTGGTCTCTGCCAGCTCCTGAGGGAAATATCTCTCAAGCATTCCTTTAAGTCCCTCAAGAAGAAATCCATTTTTTTTTCAGTTATTTGACACATTACATACACACACGCCCGAAATACAGACACATGCACAAGCAGAGAGATGTCAGAGAGAGGGGGGCTGCCCATCGACAGACAGCCCGAGCAGTTAGGGCTTGGTGACTTTCTCGAGCACCTCAGCAGTGCCCGTGAGCAGTTGTAGCAGTATCAAAACAATGTCTGTACAAACAGGACTGAACAGGATCATGGGCAGCATGAGTGACGTTTTGATGACATGTAATGTGTGCGACCCACTGCAGGATATTTAAAAAGTAGCTGTTAGCAATTAGCAGCTAACTCAAAGAAGAGCAGCAGCTGTAAATGTCTGCGGATTGGGAAAACAATGACATCAGGGGGCTCCCTACCCCCTGAACAGAGGATGAGATCAGCCGCCATGCAACAGGGATGGTAAATTGATTTTTCTTGTCATGTTATGCCGATGTTGTGTGGACACGCATGTCATGTCACACTAGTCCGACGTCATTGTGTTACGTCACGCCTGTCAAGTCTCTTTTGCCTCCACACTGCCAGCATACTATCTACAATCACACACTGGAGCAACATGTTGTCACCATTGTTGGTTCTGTGTAAAAATGCAGAGGCAGCATAAAGAAGGGACTCTGTAGCTGCTCTATAGCGCCATCTCTGTGTAAAAAGGGCTACTGAAACTGAACCAGGAAGGAAATGTGCTATTAAAAACAAAACTGAGCTAAAAGAGGCTAAAAAGCTCCACAGCTGCAAAGTTGGTGACAAATATGTTGGTTCATGTCTCCCAAAGACACTTTAACATCAGTCACTTGATAAGTGTTATTGTCTAAATACAGATTAATAGCATCTATTTTCAGGCTTGACACTCCAGTTGATTGTGTTTCAGATGTCTGAGGACTCGTTCATCTACGCCTTCACGCTGATCTACACTCCCAGTCCTCTGGGCAACAGTCAAATCATCCGAACCAGAGGCGTCACAGTCAGCATCCAGTGTCACTACCAGAGGTCAGAATTCAAACCGCTGAACCAGAAAAACTTGTGTCATAAGTTTCTGTCATTTGAACAGCTGTGGGGGAAGTATTTGGATATTTGACTTAAGTAAAAGTAGCAACACTGCAGCATAACAATAAGAGTATAATTCTGCATTCAAAATCTTACTTTAGGATTAATGACATTAAAATATATTCATTGTACCAGAAGTAAAAGTACTCATCATGCAGAAGGACCCGTTTCAGAATAATGTGTGACTGGATTATAATTATTGATGATGAATAAATGTTAATGAAATCTGACTTTTTTGCTTTTTGAAAACAAAGTGTTTTGATTTTTCTGATGTCTTTTTGTTTTCAGGAAGCATGATGTGAGCAGTGGCCCGCTGAAGCCCACCTGGAGTCCGTTCAGTCTCACCAAAGCTTCAGAGGAGAGTCTCTACTTCTCCGTCAAACTCATGACCGGTGAGTGTTTGTCCAGGTTTATTTTTTCATGGTGTTTCCTGGCGGTACAAATACACATCGCAGTTCTTTTTGAACTATCAAAACTTTAGTGATCCTCAAATTTTGAAGTCTTTCTGAATTTAGTTTCAAAATCAGCAGTGATGAAGTCAAGTCAGATTTATTCAAAGAGCACATTTAAACAAGAGATTTTTTTTACTGTTTTTGTCAAAATGATATTCCCATACAGCAGCTGGGCTGCCTCTCATTGAAACAACAGAAACAATCAAACAAAATAATAGATAATATATTGATGTATTAATGTGTGTGTGGTGCTTTAACGTTGTCTTTAGTTATGGTGGAGCTCATTTTCAACTACATGTACTTTTGGTTGTTAAATCTGTAGACAGTGGATCATATTTTATAAATGAATTGCATTTTTATTTTAAGTCTTAATTTTCAAAAAGTAAGGGACTGTTCATTACTTGGGGGAGAGGGTGGTGCAAAAAGGGGAAGGCATGTCAAATAATTTGGGGGGGGGGGGGGGGG